TTTTTTTTTTTTTAATCTTATTTGTAGTATATATTTTGTATATGTTTTTTTAGTCAATTTGTTTTTGGTGATAAACCAAAAACTTTCGAGTTTGTTTTTAATAAATTATATAGATAATCTAATAAATTTAAAATAAAATAAAAATAAACTAAAAAGTTTATAGAAGAAAGAAAGAAATTAAAAATAGAGCCCAACAGAGCTGTCATTGGACCTTCGGTAGTTGCATGCTTTATTAGGCAGAAAAGAAAAAAAAAATATAAAACCTAGTGTAAGTTGGGCACAAAGCTTTGACGCCTGCCTAGCCCAAGCACTTGACGAATGGGATTACTCATGGCCTGACCGAAATTGGATAGCTCTACATATATAAAAACATGCATATAATTAACTGAAATTTAGATTTCGAGTATACGAAACGAATGTTAAACACACAGGTAACTATATTTTTTTTCAATATATATATATATATATATATAATAGGTAGATCAAATGCGTTCAGCTCTTAAAATACGCCAAACTCTTAAAATGCGGACAGTTCTTAACAACTACAGACAACTAACCTAGCAAATAAAGAGAACTAACCTAACAACTACAGAGAACTAACCTAGCAACTACTAATCTAGCAATTACAGAGAACTAACCTAGCAACTACAAAGAACTAACCAGCTTGGATATCCATCTTTCCGCTTTTAGTAGATTAGGTTTATTGCTTTCATTAGACTAGTCTTTTTATTCCAGACACCTGTTAGCCCGAAGACAGACTTTGTTTTGTTTCTTCTTTTTTGTTTTGATTGTAAAACTCTGTTCACTGTAGTATGTTGATATTTTGGGCCCCTGTTTTAAGGTCTTGATCTATGAACAGGTTGGGGGTCCAGCCCAATTCCCGCCCTTCCGGGGCGTTGTTTGTCCAAAAAAAAAAAAAACTTAGCAACTACAAAGAACTAACCTAGCAACTACAGAGAACTAACCTAGAAACTACATAGAACTAACCTAGCAACTAGAGAGAACTAACCTAGCAACTACAGAGAATTAACCTAACAACTACATAGAACTAACCTAGCAACTACAGACAACTAACCTATCAACTACAGATAACTAGCCTATCAACTACATAGAACTAACCTAGCAACTACAGAGAACTAACCTAGTTGGAAGATTAGTTAATGGTCTACACCGGAGTCAACGTCGGAAGTCAACGGATTTCGCCAGAAGTCAACGCCGGAAGTCAACGGTCAACGCTGGAGTCAACGGGTCAAAATAATATTTAAATAATTAAAATAATAAAAAGAAGAGAGTAAATCTTGGCCACACATGATGTACCAAATCTTGTGGCTAAAAATGAGTCTCACGTCCTCACTTTAAATAAGTGGA